TGTGAAACCTGACCGCCTAATCTGTGGTTACCTGCAGTAGGGTGCAGCCGATCTAGTACTTCTTTAGGACCAAGAAGTCTAGGTATACAACGTAGAGGGTCTCGGTAGTGCCGCGGAGAGTCTTACGAATATTCCGAAGTTGTGGAATAGTCTACGAATCCTCTGAGCGAATAGTCTTCTACGAAAGGTTCCAGCCGGTTCTCGGATGAATGTGGATGTTGACGAGTTTTCAGTTCACTGGAGTGATCTGAATGAGGTTCTCATGGAAGAGAGTGTCTCGTCTTCCCCGCCTGTATTCATGACTTCTTTCTGTAGTTTATCAGGGCCCACCAGGCTCCGAGCTACTGGATCGGGAAGGAGAGGATGTCCCCTGAAAACTGGGTAAGGTGGTCGAGCGGGAAGCAAGAAACCGTCCTGACGTTTCTTTAGGTCCTGAACGCAAGTCGGTTGACTACGTGAAAGTGGTCTTCCCCAGGATTGAGTGCCTTTCACCTAGATGTGGTGTAATCCCCTGTGGTTGTAGTAGGAGGTATATTGATGGTATCTGTGTGTACCGTGTTTTCTGTCCGCTTATCTGGAGCACCAATGGTTGACTCTCGCTCTATATGGGTAATAGAGCCAGCGGTAGCGGATCTCGGGTCTAATGTCCTGAAGTGGTCGACGACCGGCTCTGTTGCTAACTGGTTCCAAAGAATCCCTTGTAAAGGTAATCGCATACCACCTCCCTCCTAAGGGTTTGGGCCCTTATGAAAGCCGTGGGACCCTTGCATGTCTAATAAGTTCCCTTCGGAACTTTGTGCCTTGTGCCTGTGGTTCCGACTATCTTGGCACCCAGTACCGCCAACCATCCGTCAGTGCGGAGGAGTGCTGCTATGGGCATCCTATGGGAGAGGCCAACACTGGGGTTTCCTGCAAGGAGCAGAAACAATTTTGAGTCCATTTACCCAAGTTGTATGCCCGTTCCCGGACGATGTTTGGCGGCGTCCAGCATCGCCCATGGTAAGGTCGTGAATCCTGAGAGACCTCCTCCGTTGGTCACTATAGTCGACTGAGCCGTTCGGACCGGCATGGAAGGGCATGGGTTTGTCCGACCATCAGCGGATATGGACATTCTAGGCAAGAGGCTGCAAAGCCACAAGTGCATAATGTTGTCAAGTAGGTTTATCGTAGTAAGGAATACCCCTGTGTAAGGCACAAACCAGTAGTCAGGCACAGGATACAGGACAAACAGATCAGTCTACTATGACAGTAGTTCACGGAAACCCTTGTGGGTCTATTCCGAATCGTGGCCAAATAAAACAGACTGGGGCTCACCCAGTACATAGAGGTTGCCATAGCATTGCCTCCATTCAGCAGCACCGTGCAGCGCACGTATAGTGGGGGCTCACCCCGGGTGCACAGGGTATGAACCCTTAAGTGCTGGCCATCGCTCTGATAGAGACTGTCAGTCACCTCTTCCATTATTAAATTCACCACAAGGAGAATATATATCATTAAGTAGGTGGCTCGGAACTCCTGTTCAGCGGTTGTAACCGCATGCCATTTTAGTGCAGTGCATGCCTAGCCCGGTGCATAGGGCGTGGTCCTTTAACTGCAGGCCGCAGAATAGGTACAGGGCCGTACCGTATCATGATTCATTATCAATGGAGGTATTCCTTAAGCTGTAGGTAGAGGCTGTTGCTGTAAGACTTCCTTTGGTTGGGTAGTGTGACTCGCCTATCGTAGGGGTCTCACCCCAAGAGCACCAGGTCTGAACCTGTAAGTGCCGGTCCCAGGTTCGAAGTTCGGATTTTCAATCCTGGAGCTCGCTGTTGAGAGGGGTAGGAGTAGAAGCAGCAGTGCTGTAGGGGGCTCACCCCAGTTGCACAGAGTATGAACCCATCAGTGCTGACCATCAGCCTGATAGAGAGTGTCCTACAGCTCTATCAATAATTAATGCACTGCCATGAGGGATATACTGCACTGAAGCTTGCGACTCTGTCCCCTTTTTTGCCGAATAGATTGGCGTATACCTAGTCAGAGATCACCTCAGGTGCGCAGGGTATGTACCCGTCAGGCGTGGGTCGCGGCCAAATAAAACAGACTGGATGAGAGCACAATCCGTTTCATTGTGTGCAATGCACCATGCAGACCCCAGCAGGGTGTAGTAGTGTGAAATTTATTGTGTGCAATTTATTGTCTCAAAGTATCAAAACAACCCCAACAGGGTGTGTGATATTCAGTAGTGTGCACTTATTGTGTGCAATTTATTGTCTCAAAGTACCAAAACAACCCCAGCAGGGTGTGTGATATGGGGTACCCCAGCAAGGTATCTGTTGTAGTGTAAATAATGCCAGTGGACCCCAGCAGGGTCTGTATAAATGACAGTAATGTGTAATAACCCCAGCAGGGTATTCTGTATCTGTCACTTAGTGTTGTCAAATTGTCCCAGCAGGGCAAACCACAATATTGGGATTTGTATAACTGGGCCTCACCCAGGATCACAGAGGTGGCCACAGTGCTACCTCTAAAAAGCAGCACGGTAATAGGGGTAGCACCCCAAGCAGGCACAGGGTAATAAGACCTTTAGTGACTAATATGGCAGTAATGAGACAAAAAGTGACTGACCTCTGAGGGATAATAGGATATAGTACTAGCTCTAAGCTCCGTCGTCGGTCGTGTTCTGACAGGTAGTCTTAAGTGATAGGGGTCATCCCTTTGAGCATCCATTACCAGACATAGAGTCTTGCTGTAGATTCCTGATCCCTGATCCAGGTGATATCCCTTCAAATCTCCCATCACTGATATGTACTTATACAGTACCATCTTGATAGTCTGTGTCCAAGGGTGCTATTCAAGGAATTCAAGGGTGGTATCCCTTTAAGGATTTGGTATCCCTTTTAAGTAGTTACAGAATGGTATCCTTTTAAGGAGTTCCCTATAAGGGTCCAAGAATGGTATCTTTAAGGAATTTGAGGGTGCTATCCCTTTAAGGGATTTGGGGGTGATATCCCTTTAAGGTTCCAGTACCTCAAACCACTATACACGAGTACGACTCAAATCTGTAAATAAAAGGCCAGTTAGAATACTTACCTTTGCCTGGATTCGAACTTGGGACCCTGGGGTCCAACGTCCGTGTCAGAGAATTGTGAGCCCAAGAGCAGCTAGGCTAACTGACAGCCCAGGTATATGTTACTCTCGAGCGCTAAAATTGTGGGAGTAGCAAAACGGCCATCCATAATCTCGCAAGATTAAAGATGGCCGCCGAGGGTAAAAGAGGGGGAACATGGTCCCTGGAGTCTCGGTAGACGCGGGATCAAAGATGGCCGGTCGCGTCATGCTCGGGCTACCTCGTAGTCGCCCCACAGACTGCCCTGCACCAAGGTAGTGGATGTTGGAAAGCATCCAGCACATTACCAGGTGTACGGTGTGGGGCAGCCTGAGAGAGCGAGGGCAGTGAGTCCAGCCATCCTCCTGAGGATTGTAGGAGGAAGGGGCCGAACGGATAGGCCGGAAGAAGGGGTTAATGCCGACGGGAACCGCGGGAGGGAAGGGAGGAAGGGAAGGGGTTAAGCCCCAGCCAGACCCAAAATCCCCAAGAGATCCTGGGGGGAAGGAGGAAAGCAGGGAAAGAGGGTCCCCAGATGCCCCAAGTATAGAAGACCAGGAAAATCGCCAGAAAAGTCATGATACATATGGTATAAAGTACATCTACCATAATTATACATAAAACCTATTCAATAATAAATAATTCAAGTTAATAATAAAATTTACACCTAACACCTATTAAATCCATGTAATAAAATACATATGACATCTATTAAATACCTATAAAGTACATGTAATACTTATCAAAACAAAGGATAAAATGCCTATAAAACTGATAAATTACAAGTGATATTAATCACAAGTAAAGGTTATGAAATAAGGATAACATTAAATCTACATATCTATGACATAACATAGAAAACACAGCTGCACATAGTACAGAAGCACAGCAAGAACATACAGTAAAGTATATAAAAATATAATACAGAAACAACCTCAAAGAGGCACTGTAAACATAAAGTAATGGAGGAGAGTAATACTCTGACCTGTCTGCTTGATGGAGCAGTAAAGAAAGAGGGAATGATAAGGTCACATTGCCTTGTGTACATCCTGCTCACCTGTGATTGGTTCTTTTTTCTATGTGTTTCTTTACTGCTGTATGGAGTTAGTAAAGAGAGATATGCAAAATACGAAGCCTCCTGTCATGTGGTAAAATTCTTTGCTGCGGCACATGGGCACAGCCAGATCAAGCATGTCGCAAGGCAAGCTCAAGAAACATGCATTCATAGAAGCAAAACTTAAATTCTTTGCACAGAAACCCAGCCAAACGGCTCTGCATATGCAGGCCGCAACCCGGGATGGCGGGGGCTCCTCAGACGAGGGTGGCTCTTCCCCTGAGACGGGGGAACCAACCCAGAGCACTGCCTTAACAAAACAACACCTACAAGAAGCCATGGAGGTACTGTCAGCAAAATTGATCCAGTCATGGACCACCAGTGTGGACACACTCCGCAAAGACATCCTCGACCTGGGCGCAAGAACCACCCACACAGAAACAAAAATGGCTGAATACGCCACCGCTCACAATAAGCTGGCGGATCAGGTATCCCACCTACAGCAAACCATAGAAACTATGGAAACAAAACAAAACAGGTCCAGGTGGAATAACCTCCGCTTAAGAGGGATCCCGGAGGACATTACCCAGGACGACCTATCTAGATACGTCCATGACCTCTTCAACGTGGTAGCACCGAACATTCCCTTTGACATGCTACTTCTGGACCGAGTCCACAGGATTCCAAAACCAAAGCACCTGCCAGCATCCACACCAAGAGATGTGTTGTTACGTGCCCACTACTTCCACGTGAAAGAATTAATATTAAAAACCAGCCGCACAACACACCTACCACCTGACTTTGCAGGCATAAAGATATTTGCATACCTGTCCCAAGCGACCACAACATCAGGTACCGATGGGGCTACCCCACAAAACTCCTCGTGTGGAGAAACGGAGAATTCAACCCCCTGACCACATCGGCGGACGGATTGAAGGCAATACGAACATGGGGCCTACAACTCTCCCAAGCAGGACGTCAATCACCCTTATCCTCACCTACCAAACTGACCCAGGACTGGAAAAAAGCTTTAAGACTGAGACTGAGCGCTGCCTTCTCTCCAACCCCGATGCATACTAATCAGGTTGCCAGGCACGCAAGTATTGCAACCGTAGCACCTCACTAGCCTAACTATGCCCAAGGTTTCCACCCTCCACTGGAGCCTAACAAACAACATTTATGCCGCACACAACACATAGGTCAGGACCATCAAGCACACCAAAATCACCAGGCCGAAATGTGTGATAGGTGCCGCGAAAGCCACAGTACACAGGGACAATCTTAGATAATGAGGGGGACATGGGGACACAATGATAGAGACCCGATACGCTAAGGGGCCGTGAGGCCATTCACCCAAAGTGGGAGGGAGGGGACCATAGAATTATATGATTCAAATGACATATAAAAAAAAAGCCCCCCTCCACAGAGACCTAAGCACCGAATTCAACCCCATAAGGGAAAACCCCATGGCCCCCAACACAGGCATAATCCAGGAAACTTACTCACAGCCTTTTTGAGGGAACCAGCTCAGCTCATTATAAAAAAACACAGTGAGGGATGGGAGAAGCAGAGCTCACCTGCTCATGGTTCTATGCATGTGACACGTATCAACAATAACGAATATGTTGGTTTTTCTTTTTCTTATTATGTTTATTGTCTAATGTTAAACTTCTGTAAAATGTTATGACTTATCCAAACCACACAAACAAGCTACCACAAGCCCAGGTAGCCATGAGTACCATATGGACAATACGGATAACCCCAAGGTGCACACACCATGCATCACTCCCCCTTGGCGGGGAACTATGTACATAACCTTCCTACCCCCTACCCAGTTTTATATGTCCTTTCCACTCGTGACCATAAAACCCCACCGCCTAACCCTTGAGAGTACGAAGCCAGCACCTACCCAAATTTCCACGTTCACAAACAGGACCATACCCCTCAACTTAAGCGCCAATGGGAAACTAGCCTCAAACACCCACACAAATGGCCATGAAGCGCCCACCCCATATGCAGACATCTACAAACATGAAAATTTACTCCCACAATGCAAGGGGCCTCAACACCACACACAAGCGCAGCAAACTACTAGAAGACCTCAAACGGGCCACAGCGGATCTAGTATGTATACAAGAGACACACTTTGTAAAACTTTGCATCCCTAAATTTGGCCTTAACGAGTATCCTATACAATTCCACGCAGCACATACTTCCAAAGCCAGAGGAGTCTCCCTGCTTATCCACAAATCCCTCTCCTTTGAGCTACTCAAGCTAATCACTGATAGCCAAGGAAGGTTCCTCATAGTTCTATGCATGATCAACGAGGTTAAGTACACCATAGTGAACATATATTTCCCCAATACACAACAAAGAAACTTCCTCCACAAAGTCCTCTCAAAACTTGAGCCCATCAAAACCGAATACACGATGGTCTGCGGGGACCTAAACCATATCTTAGACCATACCTTAGACACATCCTTGCTTACTTCACAATCCCACAAACAACACCTCAAACCACAATGCCAAGCTCTAACGAAACTGATAATGGAGTTTAATCTCTACGACACATGGAGGGCCCTACACCCAACAGACCATCAGTACTCTCACTACTCCCAAGTCCACAAAACGCACTCTAGAATAGATCACATTCTCTCTACCAGACCCCTCCTCCGGAGAGCTCTACACTGTGAAATAGGAGACATAGTATGGTCGGACCATGCGCCCAACATCATGTCCATATCGACACAGTTTGCATCCAGAGGGTATGCCCCCTGGAGATTGAACGAATCCCTGCTGCGGGATGACACCTTCCGTAATGTCATCCAAACAGAGTTTACAGAATATTTATCCACAAATAACAATAAAATAACCTCCCCTATAATGATCTGGCAAGCTCATAAATCAGTCATGCGAGGGCTCCTTTTAAGCCGCGCATCATTCCTTAAAAAGCAAGCACAAAAAGATCAAATAACGATCCTGAGAGACCTTAGAGACGCCACAGCACAACACTATATACAACCCACTGACATCCTACTGAAGGAAATTGAGAATCTGACCGATCAACTAAACACAATAGCAATGTCAAAAACGACATACATGATGCAAAAACTCAAAACACGAAGCTACAACCAGAACAACAAAACAGGCAAACTACTTGCCACACAATTAAGACTCAAATATGCCCAAAATAAGATCACGTATATCTTAACCGCAGAAGGGAAAAAACTATACAACCCACAAAACATAGTTGATGAACTAGCCAAATACTATACTACACTATACAACCTAAAAACGGACGCACAAACGCAACAACCCACCACGCTTGAGATACAGTCCCTCTTAGCGAAAGTATCCCTACCGCCAATTCCCCAAAACCATGTGGACACATTAAAAACCCTGATCTCAGAACAAGAAATTATCCAAACAATAATGTCACTTCCCTCGGGCAAATCACCAGGCCCACATGGTTTCCCAAACAATTATTATAAAATATATGCGCATACCCTAGCACCACAACTCATCCAAACATACAATAAAATGACCGCACAGGAGAAAATGCAAGCAGATATGCTTATGGCGCACATCACGACTCTCCCTAAACCAGGCAAAATCCCAAACAAAGGTCAAAACCTACGCCCGATTTCACTGTTAAACACAGACATAAAAATAATTGCTAAAATATACGCAAACAGATTAGCCAACATTCTCCCGACGATCATTCACCAGGACGAAGTGGGGTTTATCAGGGGGAGACAGGGCAGTGACGGAACGCGAAAGGTACTCAACTTAATGCAGAGGCTACGGGGGGGCACAGTGTATTTCTCTCGCTAGACGCTGAGAAAGCGTTCAACAGACTGCACTGGCCTTTCTTCCTTGCGGTCCTGAGGAAATATGGATTTCCAGATATGTTTATCTCAATAGTACAAACCCTATACAGCAACCCGACAGCCAAGGTAGTAGGAGGAGGATTCACATCCTCTCCATTCGAGATATCCAACGGCTCCAGGCAAGGTTGCCCCCTTTCCCCGATGCTATATGTTTTGGCACTAGAACCACTCACAGCACTAATCAGACAAAACCCAGATATTCGTGGAGTTCCAGTCGGACCACACAAGTACAAACTCACATTGTCCGCAGATGATATTCTGCTCACACTCACTACCCCCTACAGCTCTATCCCCACATTTCTCCAAATACTACAGGAATATAGCAGATGCTCCTATTACAAACTTAACCTGACCAAGACACAAGCCTTAGGCCTAAACACGCCCAAACACATACTACTAACCCTGCAAAAACAATATAACTTTGAGTGGAAATCAGACAACCTCACCTTCCTAGGACTAATCATCACACCCACTACCACAGGCCTATATAAAGATAACTACCAGAAACTCCTAAAGGAAACTCGAGCCATATTAACTAGCTGGCGAAAAAAGTACCTCTCATGGACCGGCAGACTAGCTGCCATAAAAATGATAATCGTCCCCAAATTCCAATACTTATTCCGAACTCTACCTATCCATCTCACAAACACGTATTTTAAGGATACCAAGGGTGAGAGCTCATATTCTCTACCAAAAAACTCCTGAGGGCGGGATGAATGCACCCAACCTCTAAACATATTATCAGGCAGCCATTCTAAATAGCATGATACCACTTCACAGTCAGAGCCCACCGCCTCAATGGGTAACGATATAAAAAGACGCAGTCAAACCACATGCCCTTATGGCACTAATCTGGTCCCCTAAACAAAGCAGACCCCAAAACACCAATATACTGCCGACCACAGAGGTGATGCTACGGGAATGGGAAGAAACCAAACAAATATGTTGTTCACAAATCCCACACTCTAGAACAATGCCATTTTCTGCCATGCCCTCCATGATACCGAACTTTAACCACAGAATATGGGAACGACATGGTATACATCACATACATCAACTGTACCAAAATAATCACCTTCTAACATTTACAGAGGCGCAGAGCCTCTACGGCCTCCCAACCGTAGCCCACTTCTCCCTCAGGCAAATTCACTCATGGTTAACAAAACACCAAGTTGAAAAAAAAGCTACGTCCAACGAGCCTCAACTGACGAGCTTCGAGAAAACCATACTTAAATTGATGCCAACACAAAAAACCTTCTCAACGCTATACACTAACATGTTGCAGCATAATATCACACTTAGATATCCCTTTGTTATAGCATGGGAAAAAGACCTAGGACAAACCTTCCCCGAGGCAATGTGGAGAAAGATGTTTATCACCCCCAAAACCCTCACACTCAGTGCCAACCACACTGAATTATCCAGGAAAATTTTATATAGATGGTACTTAGTGCCCACACGCCTCAAACAGATGTACCCTGAGGCCTCTGACAAATGTTGGCGCTACGCCTCGACAGCCAGATCAATGATCTATATATGGTGGACATGCCCAGTATTAAACCCCTACTGGACCGCGTTGACCAAAATGATCCACACTAGTACAGGTATCCGCATACCACAAACCCCAGACTGCCTACTGCTCCACAACTACCCACCAATGCTCCCTAAAACAACTAGATATTTGACCTATCAGATCAACATAGCAGCCCTAACCCTGATTAGCAGGTCATGGAAAAAAGCTGAAGCACCAACCATGCCACAATGTATACAACTCATAAATACGACTAGACTTTATGAGCTAGCAAGCAGAACAGCTTTCCCCACCAGAGCAACCTTCTGGAAAACAGCTTGGCAAACCTGGGAGGCTTTCGAAAACAAACCCCCCCCCCTCCCCCCGGCAACATCACAGAACATAATCCGAAGTCTCGACAGCCGAGCTCATCATTATAGTGATAGCTACCATGCTACCCCAATGACCACAGGTAACAATATAATAAAATACACCGGGAGACAAAATATTCCACAAAGCAGGCACTTTGCAAATTCCTCTCCCCTACCTAACCAAACAAAAGTAGACACTGGACCACTTGAACTTGGACTCTCAACCCCTGCACACCCCCCCCCACCCCCATCCTCCTTCTCCCAGTTGATACACTGTTGAAAACTGTTTTAAGTGAACAAAATGTTGAACATGTCTGTAACCCAATAACGGAGACAATTTATTTCTGTAACCATGATAATAACTTGGCCTGCAAACTGTACAAAGAAATGTTCACTGTAAACTTGGAAAACTGTTTAATAAAAAATAACAATGATTTTTTATCTCTTGTTACCAATCTATATGACACAAGAAGACTTAGCTTAAAAAAGCCATGTCTATATTGTCACGGTTCTCACCCCGACATCCAGACAACGTCGCCCCGGAAGTGCCCAACAAGGGATTTGAACCTGGGTACTTTGCGGTCCTGGATCTCTTTCTCCTCTGAGTAACCATACAGCTCAAGTAATAGCCTGAAGTCCAATCTTACCTTGTATCCAGCACTAGGGGCTGGACTTTGCCTTAGACTGCTCCTGTCAGTTATGGTCCACCTGTAGCTTATGCCTCATTATCCAGGTATAAAACACTGCCTCTCCCTGAGGGCAGTGTCAGTTCATTGACTCTGGTTCCTGTGTTAGTATTCGTGTTTCCAGGGTTCTCCAGTTGGCTCCTGACCTTGGCTTTCTTTCCGTGTATCCTGACTTCAGGCATCCTCTGACTTTGGCTTACCCTCATTTATCCTGACTTCTGGTACCCTCTGGCTTACCCTTGACGATTCTCCTGCTTGTGTCCTTACCTGTACCGCGACTTGGAGCAATAGCCTGCACAGCCCCCGTGCACAGACTCAAAGGCCAGGTGAATTCTTACCTGACCACCTTGGCCTGTGTTTAATTGCAAGGGTGAGCATAAATCTCTGCCTACCGGACTCCCAACTAAGGTAAGCTGTGGCAGAATGAACTGACCATCATGGTGTCCGCAGAGATGTGCACACTACTTTCCCAGCAAGTGTCCAGCCTGGCCCAGACTGTTTCGGAGCGGCAGCAAGAAGTTCTATTTCTTAAAGGCACAGTACGCCCAGCCCCGGAACCTGCTTATCCAGAGCCATTTGTTCTGATGCCTGACAGATTTGATTGTTCCCGTTCCTTCTATACAGCATTTTGACTGGATTGCGAACTCCTGTTTGCCCTTTAGCCCAAGACCTACAACAGCGACTTTGTCAAGGTCCATTCTGCTATTAATTTACTTTCTGGATGGATTAAGGAGTGGGCATACCAGAAACTACAGGAGAAAAGCACTGTCTTGGACAGCTGGGAGTTGTTCATGACCGCAGTGGACTCTCAGTGCATTGCCTCCAGGAAAGCTACTCCCAAGCCTGCTCCAGGTACCCGCGGATCTCAGTTACCTAGAGAAAAAGACTTTAAACACACATACCAAGCCCCGATCCTGTTGCAGTGTGAATCCACCTTCAGGGACCTGCCTTGCAACCCTTATTGTACTCAAGCTAGCCGTGAAACTCCAGTGGACATGGAGGAATCCATGGAGATCGGATTTACCCAAACTAGGTTGCCTCCTAAGGAAATAGATCGTAGGAGAGTCCATGGCCTGTGTTTATACTGTGGAGAAAGAGGGTATTTTATGTCACTCTGCCCAATTTGTCCACCTAGGCCAAAAACTCTTCTGTTGGGTACCCTACGGACTCATCCTGTCATCCTGGTAATGCAGCCTGGAAATTTCCAAGGTTCCTGCCAGCCATGTCCCCGTTCTGTGATACAAAAGTCATACATATATGATGTGAGGCCGCATTATATTTAAACTAAGCAGAAAAAAACAACTTACATGGGTGTAGAGTATTACTCTACTAATTTTTATGTTTTTTTTCTTTCTATTTTCATTCATTTATTCCATGACCATATTTTGTGATATATCCTTTTACTTAAAATAGTATTTTTGTTTTTTCATGTTCTTCAACTCAATGCAACAACTTTCCATGAGGACCCTGCAAATCAGTTACAGAAAATCTGACCTTTTTAATGACGGAGAAACCAATCCCAACGTTTCTTCTCATGTCTCATAAATGGTAGATATTGGGATTTTATAACGAGTATTATAATTTACAGAAATTATCCTGTTATCCAGTGTCTATTATATACAACCCTGATGTATAAAACTGAGCAAGGTGGAACTTTTACCCAAACAGAACATTGCTTTGTTACATTACATTCTACGTCCAGTCATGAAGTTTGTGTAGTTGCCCTACCAGGCTCCAAAACAATTAGCAGCTCTTCCGACATCCGTAACTAAAAATCAAGTATCACTTTGATCCATTGCATCAGCAGCCCTGGAATAACACAACTCAGAACATATATTTAGAACCAACACTCTCTAATAGAAGGCAGATGTGTGTTTTAAAATGTTTATTTATCATTAATGTAATCAGTTTCACCATCATCCCTTTTCGAGGAAGCAGAAAGTTCATTTTTACCTGAGATTGGCTATTTCCCTTAGATGTCTTGCCATTTTCGGTTAACTACCAAGACAAAACAGAATTGCTCATAGGAATATTAATAATTTAAATTCAATAAAATGACTTGTGGGACAGTTGCCTTTTTATTTTCTTTCTTGGCACGATTTTACAACCTGAAATATTGAAGTAAAATAGTCTGATTCCAAAATAAACTTTGGCTTTCAAGGGTTGGGTCTACATTTCACATGCCAGCTAGGTTTATAGTTTGTTTTCCATGCCATAAATGTTCTCACTGTTGAAGCTTAGTCGTTTAAAAGAGTTTGTTGTTGGTCTCAGTGTTGAGCAACCGGATTTTCACCTGGCACGATATTGTTTAAAATATGTGCCCTACTTGGACATCGATCATGTCATGCTGCTTTTGACTTGGTTCCTCTTCTTGTTACAAAGTGGCCACTGTGTCATTGCAATCTCTTTTGATGTAAGGAAAAAAAAAGTACATTTTCATGTTTGGTTTTTAGGATAAAATCCTTTTGAACAGTCGATTTAAGCATCTGTTTTTCAAGTGTAAAAAATGACATCTGTGAAAGAATGCCAAGACGTTTGAGACTCGCGGCTTGCATTTAAAGAGTTTTAATAAAGACAGTGTATCCTTTACTATTATATATATATATATATATATATTTAATACCACACAATGTGTACCTGTGTCATTACTTGTGTCTCTTTCAGTTAAATATTATTCAATAGTTTTTGCATTTGTCTGTGACTCAGAATCATGTTTCTCCAAGTGCGTATGGTTAGCAGTGGGAGAACTTGCTCCTTTTCTTTAGAACATTTGCTGTTCATGCCTGGACTCAGGTAGTGCATACTGGGACCCAGTCCTGGTTTGTCCTTTGACTGTTTTCTAGTTTTGATTTGCCTGCCTTGTTTTGCTCTAGATCGTTCTTTCTCCTTTGCTTATGTCATTTTCTCACATTATTTACAGGGTCACAACATCCCCCTCTGCTGGGAGTTCTACGCTGCCCAGGTCACTGATGAGAAGTTGCCTGATGTTGGCTTAGTGACAACTAACCTTCATAAAAGCACTTGAGCCTTTGGTAAGTTGCTTTTTGACTGTTTATAAATTCCTGCTTCACACATGTGCCTTATCTAATGTAATCGTCATTAACTAGAGCAGATCATTGAGCACTCAATTTGGGGTCTGTTCACTAAATGTTATTCCTTAAAACTCCATCAATTGTCGTATTTAGGTTTGACTACAATTATTTTATTAACAGAAGGTACAACCAGGATTGAGCAAAGTTAATTGTTAAATGTAATAGAGACTCAAAACCTGCTGCCTTAAGTTGAGCTTTATAGTATTTTTTTTCTACCGAGAGAGTTGTAGACTGAAGTTCCAAGTTCCTAATGAAGTGAATAATGAAGTGAATATTGGAATAGCTGTATGACCATCACATAACCGCCACTTAAACCTATGAGATACATGGAAGACTTTCTGTTGTCATTATAAAAGAAATTAAAATCCAAAGATTCACTGACAGTCAATCAAAATCTCAAAAAAAAAAAAAAAAAGTAAAGCATGTGGGTGACCAGTGCTATGATAAAGTCCTGTTGCATTGATATGAATAGATTTTTAAGACAACTGCTATTTCTATTGTGAGAGATCACATGTGACCATCCACATATCCAGTTCTTCATCACAAAACCACACACAATGCTAACACATTACAGCAATAATGCCAGCAATGCCGTGATATATAAAACAGATTAAAGCTCGAATCCCCTCATTGCTGTTCCTGATAGTTTTAATATTTGCTCTAATGTAAAATACTCTGTGTTCCACTGCTTTAATCATTTTACCCTCGACTCAGCTTTTGTCAGGGTGGCGGTCCGGTGCCCGGGACCCAGACACTGTCCGGGTGGCGTTGCGAGGACCAGGACCCAGTATGCCTGATGTTTAGAGTAGGAGTCACAGTGTGGAGGTGGATTAGCAGGGTCTGAGCACCAGCGTTTGTGCAGCCACATATCAGAATCTTGATTCAGCTTATGCGGATCCCAGGAACTAGGTGCAGGAATTAAGCAGACCTCCCAGGAGCTGAATTGGGAGGCTCTGCAGCAAGAATGTATCCAGTACAGAAACAAGGCAAGACTAGAGATGGGCACCAAACATGGAAACAAGACAGAACTAATAGAACCCAGAACCGGAGAAGGATAGGAAGCTAAACCCAGAACATGTACACAAGACACGAGGGAAACATAAACATAACATGGGCATGACTGGACAGGACTGTACATGGACTGCGCATACAAACTAAACCAAGACAAGATAAGATAGGCAAAACAAGAGGAGAAATAACTAAGCACTATATATGAAAATCATGGGGATTTAGTCACATTATATGATCATACATAGCATAAGCCTGCCACAACCCCAATGTACCCCATATCTGGCAGGTCCTACTCTGCCTAATGTTCGCTAA